TGTTCCCTGTTGTCTTGAAAAAGGCAAATAGAGAAAGGACCTTAGGAGCTGAATTCTATACTACATTAGTTTTAAACTATGGAATAATGCCTTTGTTGGAACAGTATCTTTACAGTCTGTTATTTTATCACCAAGAGATTCTTGCATAACAATAAGCATCCTAGGACCATAAAGAGAGAATCTTGACAAAGAGATCTAGGTTCAAAAATAGTAATTTTCAAGATGCAGTTAGTTGTTAAAAGACATCAAATTTTCTTTCACAATACAAACCACAAAATCAAAACTGCCACAAAACCTTGGCAGATTAGGTCACCTAGAAAGTGGAGGGTTAAAGCATAACAAAGGATAAGATTAAAAAAAAAAAAAAGGTTAAGAAGTAGAACCCTAGAGATCAATACAAATAGAAGTAAAATGTACATAGAAAGGAGCAGGAAGATGCCCAAAGCAAGCTTTTTCAAATGTTTGCGTGGGATCAGCCCTAGTACCTAGTAAGATGATATTTTCCCTATTTTCTCCTGGCATCAAGAGCTGCTTAGTCCTAACATGTAGGAAGTCGAGTAATATCAATGAGTTAAGTTCATAGGAGGTAAACAGGTTCATATGCATTGGCTTGGGAAATTCCATTCATACAGCACACTGTTCCTTCATGAAAATATAGTTACAAGTCAGCAATTTACAGACAGATGAAATACAACTCTCAATAAACAGCCTGAGAAAAATGGCTCCCTTTACTTCATGATTACAATAATCAATATTTCCACAATATCTTGCAAAATGGCAGAATTTTGTAATAACTGCTTAAGTGAGCTGTGCCAAAGACCAATGATAAGTGGCAGACTTACGTCTAGATTCTGTGGTTTGCCCAGCAGTCTGGCTACTATTAAGGAATGTTGGCAAAGCTGCTCAAAGAACCAATATTTTGAGGCTGCCATCTGTATTACATAAATGTTTATTTTTCTCCCTTGAATTTTAGGCATGATGTTGTGGAAGGACTTAGACCACATCTTAGGGTATGTCCTGATAATGCCACAACAAGAGCTCTTATTCTGGATCTCTGATTTTTCCATGCCATAGGAACCAGGGCACTTGTGAGGTTGGTTAGCCTAGCAACTTTATATAAATAGGCTGCCAACAGTCTTAAGGTTGCTGGAAAAACCTAGAGGGGGGGAAAAAAAACAACAAAAACAAAAGCAAAACAAAAATACCACCTGAAATGAGCATCTTGAGAGGTGGAATTTTCTCAATGGTGTTTTCACTTTGACACTGTAATTGATACACCAAAGAAAAAACCAATGTGCTATTCAGCTAAACTTACCCTGATTCATGGCAAACAGATGTTAGGAATCAGCAGAAATATTGTTAGTGTAGTCAGGAAAAGGATAAGACTATAACAGATAAGAATTAGAAAAATAATGGGCTCAACATGCTATGCCTCCTTTATCAGAGCCAGTACTCATCACAGCTGTCCCTCTGCATATATCTACCTGGGTTCCTGGGGATGGTGGACCTAGCCATTCTACCACCAAACAAATTTCTTCTTCCCTCCCTTCTTTTTTTTTTTTTGGTACTGGGAATTGAACTTATGACCTTGTGCTTGTGAGGCAGGTGCAGTGCCACTGAGCTAAACCCTCAGCAAAAAGAACAAATTTATCACTGCAGAATATATAGGTACCCTGGAACTGATCGTAGTTGACTACAAAATTACAGTATTCATTCTATTTTCATAATTAAAGAAAACCAAGACAGCTATAAGACAGCTACAAGTTTTTACTGGAAAGAAGATGACCAATTTATATTCTCGTGTAGAAAATACAAACCAAAGAACAGAATTAGTATTTTTAGAAGTCAAAAACAAAAACAAAAACAAAAAAATCAACCCAGAATTAGACTTTATATATAAATCACAAGTTGGAGACTTTTCAATAGTTTGAATGACAAGACGTACATATGCTCCAAAAATTGTAAAACAACTTTTTCCTTTGTACTTTTAGTATTCTAAATATAGTTGGAAGCATATTGTTTACATTACTGTTATTCTCTACAAAACTATAAATTCCTTAAAGATAGAAATCACATCTTATTCATCTATTTCTCCAATGTCTAGTACAGTACCTGACATACAATAAATATTCAACAAATAATCAAGTAAACTCAGAGTAAAACTCACTCGAAAAACACCTTTACTCTCAATCCTAAAATACATATATAAAAGCCAAACATGCTATTTTAGTTTTCTTTTCACCAAGACAATATTTGATTTATTTGAGATTTAGAATCTTCACATAGAGGTCAAACTTGTTCTCAGTAAATAAACTTAGGTTGGTTTTAATCACAGAGTAATACCTTTAAGCTGAATACAACAAAAATCTTAAACTAATATGAGGTTTTAATTCTCAAATGGAGGTTTTGTGGAAAATGTATAAATATCTTAGAAGTTTCTGAGATTTCTTTTATGTCCATCATTTTAAAAAGGATTTTAAAAAATCACTGTTAGCAATGCTCACCACCATTTATTGAGGGTTTACCATGTACCAAAGACTGTGCTAAGCATTTTCCTAAAACAGATTCAGTCCCCCACATAATGAAGCAATATCACTCCACACTACAAACAAATATTTTTAACCACAGGGAAAAAAAAAACCTGTTAGCTTTAGAGACGAGTTGGACCACTGCTGTAATTTTATATAGTAAGCTAAAAACAATGAGAAGAATAACAGAAAGAAAAATGTATTGTACAAGTAGTTGTCAGGTATGGAAGAATAAAAGGACAGAGAGGAAACACACAAAGTGTGAGAAAAGGAACCTTAGAAATGGCCAAAAGTTAAGATTATCAGCTAATTGGCAGAATAAAGTGTAGAAGCAAAGTCAATGATTTATAAGGTCCCCTGAAGGTACTGGGAAAACTAACAGGTGACAATAATGATGGATATTTTAAAAGCAGCAGCTATAGTTTATTAAGAATTAATATAGATTTTATGATCAAAGTTTCACAGGATTCAAATGCATTCCTGTGTGGTCCCATAACCAGTGTTGTTCTTAATTTCTGTGTTACAAAATATTATACCTCTCAAAAAAATGTGGCAGGGTTATAATTTCTCATAACAAAAATTATAAATTTTTGGGGAAAATAAAATTTAAAGAAAATATACTGTTTGAAACTTAGGGTCTAAGTGAAGACCCCTTTGGAGCTACTGAAACCACTTATTTATCCATCATGGATATATCCACTTAGAGGCCTTAAAGAGACTCTCACAACCAAATCAAAATGGAATTTATCTAGAGATATCATCTTTTGAATACATTTCCTCTGTGGTTCAGCATCTCTGTTATCAAAGATATGAAACTTGAAGAAAAAAAATTCAGAATTAACTGCCTACCTTTACTACTACCATTATTTCTATGTTTTAATTTATCTCAACTACAAATATTAATAGGTAATAAACGTGGTCAACTTGAACTATACTCATCCTTTCTACCAATATGAAAAAGAATATGAGTTTTGACATTAGCCAGAATGATGTTATATTTGCTATCTATGTGGAGTAAAATTTGTAACTATTATCTAATATTTCCATTTATCTTCAAAACACTCATACTGGGAGCTGGGTATTTTCTTACTTATTTGACTGTGAAACATCCACAGTAAAATGGTCCTGAGGATGTGATTAAAGGAGTTTGCTCTGCTATGACACTTCAGTGAAATTAAATTTACCTAGACTGACACTAAAGAAAGAGGCTTTCAGTGAAGCAAAGAGAAGTCTGAGATGACTTTTAAGAGAAAGGGGGCCCACAGGTCTTTCAATAATTAAAGGATCAAAAGAATAGAAGAGAGCAGATATCAAAGCTGAGGACAAAGTCCAAAGTAGCTTTCATTGAACATCTCACGTTTGGTATAATAAGCAAAAGAATGAACCAGATACAAAAGAATGCATACCATTATCATTCCATTTCTATGAAATTCAGAAATAGGCAAAAACTAAATTAAGGTGAAAGAAGTCAAAATAGTGATTACTTCCAGGTGCAGGGAAGAAGGGATACTGTCTGTCACAAGGCTGGTGGGAGCCTTCTAAGATAATAAATCTGTTCTGCACCTGTACCTTGACCCTTCATGATTGTGCACACATATGGGAAAATTGACTGGGCTGAATTCTTTAGATCCTAGCACTTTCTATATAAAATGTTGCAAAACAAATCATAAAGGGTGGGTGTCAAATAAGAACAAGGAACATAAAAATCCCATTAGATTTCGTGTTAGCTTTTTTATGTTTTTGATTTTTGTTGTCATTGACTCCTTCATGGGGAGAAGCAGTATGTGTATTATAAAAAAATTCAGCCTTTCTTTGGCAATAACTAGAACGGTGGAGTTGGATGATCTATATTGCCTTCTACAGCTAGGTCTCAGAGGGCCAGAAATTTAAGGAAACAAGTGAGCCGTGGGGAGCAAGCACCTGGTAACAGTTGGGGCATGCCAGGAGGAAATCCTGGGGCTTTGCAACAGTTAATGGTTAATCTGTACAACGTAACATAAAGTAGTTCTGATGTCCTACAGGTACTTACTGAACTGTATTTACCTGGTTAAAAATATAATCATTATTCCTCCAAAAAGTTTTTTTTAAAAGTATTTTCTCCAAAATCACTACTGATTAGAACATCTACCTTTAAGCATGAAAAATATTAACTCTATCATAGCCATCATTAGTGCTGGACAATAAAAAGGAAAAGACTTGGGTAAAGTTGTTGTATACACTCCATCGTATAGCTTTCATTAGCTGTTGGAACCATGCGCTGTGCTTCTCTGACACATTTATGGAAGATGTTTGTGAAAGTCACAAAGAAGGGGGAATATGAAACCAATGAACAAACAAACCTAAAGTAACCAACCTTTTACAATCTCATCATTCAACAAAAGAAAAAAAAAGGATGCAATGATCTACGATCAAGAAATATAATGAGCAGACCCTATCACAAACCCTCTAGCTAACGGATGCCTCCACTCTCACCTTTATCACGGTCATAGAGTAAATCTTCTGTTGAACAAGGGCTACCATCCTGGGACTCCGGAGGACAAAAGGGGGACACACAAGGTGAGTGACTGCTGCAGCTACTGCTGCGCTCCTGGACAGAAGGCGTCTGCGTGTCAATGCTGCGAGTGCTACTGCTCCGGTAGTGCGCGGGGAGGGGAGCTCTTCGACCGTCGGGTACGTCCAAAGGCTGGAAGAGGAACACCATCATCTTGTGGACGTTCTATCTCCAAAACAGCACGGTGTGACTTCTAATTTATACTCCACCACTATCACCACCGTAATTTATTCTTCAGCTAACAAGGACACCAAATTCATGTCTTAAATTAGTTCTTGGGCATCTTTATTGAACTACAAGTTTCTTTTAGATAAAACTGTTTCACTTAAAAAGATTCTGTGACTTCCCATATGTATTTACAGGTTAGTATTTCCCAAAATACTTCTCAAGGACAGCAGGAGTGTAATAGTCTATCCCTAATGCTTAGTACTGTAACAGACATCCAAAAAGCATTTGCTAAATGAATTTACTGGTCAAAAAAAAAAATCACTTTCACATCTAGTAAGAAAAAACTAAAGGCTTACATTCACAGGTCTTTTTTATTTGCTAATTTCCCTATTTAAATTTTCTAGAAGCCAAGAACAGGACTAAACTTTCTACTTCCTTTGCAAATTACCCACAATTTCTAAGAAACTGCTATATTGTATTAGTACTCAGTGGAGGGGACTAATATAACTCAGAACAATTCTACTAATTTGGAATCCAAGTATGACTACTCATAATTTTACTTAGTTCTAATGTATTGTTCTAAGGTGGCAAAAATAAGACATTTTTATTTATTTATTTTTGTTGTTTTTGAGAGAGGTTCTCATTTTGTTCCTGCGTGCTGGTACTAGAGGCATGTGCCATTACACCCAACATCAAAAAGAAGAAATTTAAGGAAATTATAAGCATATATGCCAGAGGGCACCTTAAAGTTATCAGTCCAATGTCTTGTTTTCACAAGTAAGAAACTTACAGTTCAGAGTTCCTGCTGACACAGCTAAATATGTGACATACGAACCTGCTAAGTGCACTATTTCTACTCAGCTACTCTGCTTCTATTGCAAAAATAGGTTTTACTCCATTTTCTTCATTTGTATACTAACAAAGTGCAATTAACAAGGAAAATTCTATATATTAAATTCTTTCTTAAGTAATTTAAAATATTATTAGGATTTTAGTGCTAGGAAAAGGAGCAATATAGTGTTTATTTACAATTTATTTTCAATGTCTATTGATTTTATTCTGAATTTGTCATATCAGCAATTTTAGAAATATGTATTATCAGAGAGGAAATGAAGGAAGGTTAAACTAGGTAAGATTCAAAATGTATTAATATTTTCTATAACAAGCAACTCAAGTGAAGACTGAAAACCTGAAACTACTGAAAAAACAAACAAATCAAACTTCACTTATTTATGCAATGCACTGTTGCTATCCCAAAACTATACCATCTTTATAATCTGGCAATGATAACTGTACTATAAAGAGAATTTTCAATTGTTTAAGTATCAGCATAATTTGTAAACAAAAAAATATAATTTTAAAATTTGGGAATGAAACAAATATTAATTTACTTGGTCATATTCTGACAAAATATTAGTTTAATGAATATGTCAATGTTGGTGATCATTACAAGAATACTATATCACACTTTGCAGCTTAAAGAGTTTAAGAATTTGAATTACAGTAACTTTCATTCATGTCCTATCTGATAAATATAATTTCTCTATATTTCCATTTCTTAATCTATAAAGACTATGAATTTCTCCAACAAACTTTGTTTTACTCTTCTCTTTTGAGACAGGGTCTCTCTATGTAATCCAAGCTGGTCTCAAACTCATGGTGACATTCCCCCGTCAGCCTTCTAAGTGCTGGGATTAGAGGCATGTGCCCCCATGCCTGGCTTCCCCAACAAACTCTTATTGGGAGATAGAATTATAACAGATTTTTAGAAATCCATATATTTATACAAAGTAACAACAGGACATAAAAAGTGTTTTAACTAAACGGTATTTGATTTACTAAACCTTTGAAGTATAATTAATCATAAGTCTAAAATTTTAAAAATTATTATTTCAACTGTAAGTTTGCAGTATGCTCCAGAATGATTCTGACATAGATATTATTAAATTAAAATAGGACTTATTTAGAAGCAGAATGATTTTAGTATGTTTTATATTTTAGTAGACTTTTGCTCAGATATTCCTAAGGAAAAGTGATACATGTAAATGACTATTTCATCCTCCAAAAATTAGATCAATTTTATTTCTTTACATGCCACTTAAAATGTATAAATAAAACAACTAAGAGATGGTATGATAGTCAAAGATTTCCTTATGATATAATATATGTAAAATAAAAATCTTACTGAAATACCTAAGAAGAGTGAAATAGCAAAACCTTCTACATGGGATAATTTCGTATATTTACCAATATTTAAAATGTAAAACTGCTTTGACTAAACAATTTCACCATCAAGAAATGTCTGTGAGGAAACACAATGTTTTCTAGAGCAGTGCCTGTGAGGACAAACACTAGAAACAACCTCAATATCCATAGAGGAAATTTATAAATTACTATCTATTCATACAAGGATTCACTATATTCTAGGAAGGATATATAAAAACCAATAAATGTTGCTTGTATTTGCTAATCATCACTAAGAGTTAGAAGCAAGGTTTCATTTAAATATTATAAAGATACCCTAACTCTAAATTACTTTAAAAGCTTCCACATTATTTGAAGGAGTGAATACACATTTGATATACATTAAAGCATATTTTAGTTCCAAAACAGCAAGACAAAGAATTAGGCCATTGTTTCCTCATGGTATTTCTTTAAAAATATGGTCAAATAAAATGTTCAAAGGCAATAGTGTCCACACTTGTTTTCTGGGACTGAGGTGATTTACAAACTAATTCTGATTAATTCAAAATGGACCTAAGATCTAAACATAAGTGATAACTAAGCCTATCAAACTCGCAGAAGAAAAGAAAGGAATAAATCATTGTGACCTTGGAGTAAACAATAGTTTCTTAGATATGGCATGAAAAGTACAAGCAACCAAGAAAAAAATAAACTGGACTCTATCAAAATTAAAAGTTCTTCAAAGAATATTATGTCTTGTACTCTGAGTAACTACTCTGAAGATAATATTAACTATATTATTATTATAACTATTATTATTAACTATGTATTAACTATTGCTATTATTTTGTTGTGAAACTGGATTTTTTAAAAATAAAATAAAAAAAAAATAGGCTGGGGATTTAGCTCAGTGCTACTGTGCAAGGTCCCAAGTTTGATCCCCAGTACCAAACAAACACACACAAAAATAAAAAGGAGAAAAGGATAATGGACAGAAGAGAATATAATATTTTCAGATGATATAACTGATACATGAACTTGTATTTAGAAAACAAAAGCTTTTCAAAGAACATTTACAACTTGATAATAAAAAGACAATTTAAAGGAGCAAAGGATCTAAATATAAATTTCTCCAAAGAAGACAGCCAGCTTCATGAGACAGCTCATGAAAAGATGCTTAAATCACCAGCCGTTAGGAAACGAAAATAAACACCGCGATGAGATGCCACTTCACATCCAGTATGATGGCTATCACAAGAAAGGACATGTGTGAGGGGCACTCACACACTGCTGGTGGATAATGTTAAATGGTACACACACTTTGGAAAACAATCTGGCAGTTCCTCCGCAGGTTAGACCTAGAGGTACCATGTCAGCAGTTCCAATCTCAAGGATGCACCCGAAAGAAATGAAAACACTATATTCACATGAAAATCTGTATGTAAGTGTTCATAAGAAAACTATTCATAATTGCCAAAAATGAGAAATGGTCTAAAGGCATATCAATTGATGATAAATAAAATCTGTAAAACTAAGTACTGTCTAGCAGAAAAAGGAAATATTGATACATGGTAAAATGGAGAAATCTTACAAACACTGTATTAAGTGAAAAAAGCAATTTACAAAGCAACATATATTGTGTGATTCTGTTTATATGAATATCTAAAAGAGGGAAAAATCCATGGACCCAGAGAGTAGATCAGTGATTTGTAGAAACAAGAGTGGTAAGAGGAAAAAATGAGAGATGAATGCCAATGCCAAAGACTACAAAATTTTTTCTGGGTATGTGCGTGGGGGATAAACATGCTCTGATTTTGACAATAGTTGTACAAGTCCATGGATACACTCAAACCCACCAAACTGTATGCTACAAAGGGTAAACTATCAGATATAAGTTGCACTGCCATGGAAGCTGTTACCAAAAACATACTTGTGAGACAGTGTGTAATATTAAACAAAAAGTATTCAAGCATCTCATGTAACCTTACCTTGGACACTTCCTCCTTCCCACTATTTTCTTTAATGAATACCTTTTCCAACTCAGGACTTATTCCTTCCACATTGCAGGGCACACGTGAAACTGATGATTTTGGCACTGATATATTTGACAGTGGCACAGGGACTGACCTTGATACGGTAGCCTATGGAACAAAAGATAACGGTGTCAAATTGTTTGTGATCAAATCAATCAACAATTAAGAACAAAGCATGGGGGCCGGGAATTGAGTGCAATGGTACCCTGCCTGTCTTCAAGTGCAAGGTCCTGAGTTCAATCCCCACTGTGGAAGGAAAAAAAAAAACACAAAGAAAATCTTAAAAACTGAAGGGCTGGGGGTGTAGCTCAGCGGAAGAGCTCTTGCCTTGTGTATATGAGGTTTCAAATTCAATCTCTAGCACCACACAAAAAATATTAAAATAAAAATTCAATAAAGTTATTTTTGACACTTCAAATGTAGTAATAATTCATACACACACGTTTGAAGGCAGTGATCATGAGCTTTCTGGAGCTTTCCATGATACAAACAGAACTTTACAGCACACGTACCATAGGTTTGCCACCACTCTCTACGCTGAAAGAGCAAAGGAACAACTATAATGCATGATGTGCTGAGTTGGTGCAGAAGAATGCCAGACAGAACCTTCAGGGCTGTTTTTTTTCTTTTTTTGTTTTACTGAAAAAGTAGTGGAAATGATATGCTATTATGACTCCACTGTTCATTTCTCTGCATTAAAAATATGTATTTCCCATACAGTGACAACCATCTTTTGGTACTTCTCATTTCCATTCTGCCAACAGTTTAAGCACCTAAATGGGCGTGGTGGCACGAATCTATAACCTCACACTCTGGAGGGCTGAGACAGGAGGACTGCAAAGTCTGAACACCGTCACAGAATAAAATTTTAAAATAGAGGGGAGGCAGCTAGGGACAAGCTCAGCGCAAAGTCCCTGGGTTCAATTTCCAATAAAAAAAAAAAAGCCTACTAGATTATTAAGTAATATCAAAACAGTACTATGTTAAATTCAACACTCACATAACAATTGTAAGATTGTTTTCAGAAGTCCCTAGCAGCAGTTTTTAAACATTAACGAAAAAAGTGGTAGTAGACCTTTGGATGTTTTAGAAAATTACAGGAAGGAACAATAGGAACGAAATCAGAAAAATAAACATTAGCAAGGTAAAAATTAAAACAATCTATGGGCTGTGGGGAGAAAGGAACCCTTCTTCATTGTTGGTGAGATGCAAACTGGTGCAACCGCTGTGGAAATTGATAGAGAGTCCTCCAAAAACTAAAACTAGAAGTACCATTTAACCCAGCTATGCCTCTCCTAGGTATCCTCCCCAAGAGACAAAGACATCACTCCACAGTGATGTCTGCATACCTATGTTACAGCAGCGCTACTTGTAATAGCTAAATCTTGGAAACAGCCTATATTTCCATCAACAGATGAATGGATTAAAAATATAGGGTATTTATACTCAATACAGTACGACTCTGCCATACAAAAATAAATGTGAGTCATTGGTGGGAAAACGGATACAACTTGACACTGTAATGTCAAGTGAAGTAACTCAGATATACAAGCTTAAATACTGCATGGTTTCTCTTATGTGAAAAACTCAATATACATAAATATAAAGTTTGAAACAGAGGACAGATGATAGTAAAAAAAGATAATGAAAAATAAAGTGTCTGCAATCCAGCAAGCACAATGCAATCTAAACATGTATCCTTGGTGTGAAAAACTATAATGGTACAGAAGATCCTAATGGTATAATTGACAGTGTGAAATAGGAAGAAAAGAGCTAAAGGTGTAGGGGAAGTGGGAAGGGTAGGGGAAAGGGAATAAGGGAAAAGAAAAAACATATGAGAAAATGAAAAAAGTACTTGTAAATAAGGGAAGAGAGGAGCGGGTGAAGGGAGGGCAGCGGTATGGGGAAAAAATGAGCACCCAGACCTGTCATGTAAAGGTACAGGATCCCAATGATGATTGTAACTGTACTGTATACCTAAGTACCAATAAACTCAATGAGAAAAAAAAAAGTGTACCTCGACTTAGTACAATTATCTTATGTGTTTTATACATCCTTACTGAGGTTTTCAATCTCTATATATGATAAATAAACTTCATAATGTCTTATAAGATAAATAAATGATCTGATGCTGAAAAAATAAAAGGTGGGTGGAGGGAGGAGAAAAAAGAAAGGAGTTGAAATGTGTATTATGTACATGTACCAATCATGTACTGCAAACATATACTAATAAAAGTCAGAAGGAAAAAAACAAGAATCCACAATCTCACCTTACACCTAATGATAAAAGTTGACATATGTGACCTGTAATGAAGCAGACTGCTAACTCCTGGTCAGCACACTAATATTTCCCATCTTCAGCTCTACGCTTTTGCCATCTGTTAATGGTACCCACTGATGTGCTTTGTCGCTTACAGATCCACGAGCTTTGGTCATATTGAACTTTTAACTCTTTATCACATTTGCTGTTTCTTCAGTATCAAATATTTTTTAGCATTTTATGATTTTCCGTAAATATTAAAGGTATTATCTACTGATAGAAGTAAAGAGTTTAGAATTTTTTTACCCATAGAGTAATGTGACTGCCCTTGAAATTTATTTATGGATTCTGTATTTGATTTCCTTGAGCTACAATCCTTTTAAAATTTTTCAATAATTTACAGTACATAACGGTTACACTCATTGTGGGGAGGTGGTGCACGAACATCACACATCTTTTTTTTTTTTTTTTTTTTTTTTGGTACCGGGGATTGAACTCTGGTCCTTGCACTTGCAAGACAGGACAGAATCACTGAGCTAAATCCCTGGCCCCATCACACATCTTAATTCTTTTTTTACTTCCTCTTCCACTTCCCTCCCTCCAGGTCTTCATCCCTTTCTCATTTGCAAATGATAAATAGCCTGGTTATCTTTTATCTATGCTTTATTTTGCTCTTTAAATTTTTTATGCTTTGGGTTAAAGTTCTGCTTTAATTGCTATGATTTTATGGTATATTTTGATATCCAGGAGGAAGTCTTTTTCAAATATTCTATTAATGGGCCTTGTTTTTCTATATGACCTTTGAAAATAACTTTCCAGGCTGGGCATGGTGGCGCAGGCCTGTAATCCCAGCACTTGGGAGAGTGAGGCAGGAGGATCTCTGTGAGTTTGAGACCAGCCTGGGCTACACAGTGAGTTCCAGGTCACTCTCAACTACATAGTGAGACTCTGCCTCAAAACAATCACATGGCACCAGGTGTAACAATTCCCAATTTGAAACTATACTACAAAGCCACTGTGATAAAAACAGCATGGTACTGGCAAAGAAATAGGCCTGAGGATCAATGGAACAGACTGGAAGACACAAAAACAAATGCAGATGTACTCAGCTACCTCATCTT